GGGTGCTCGGGAGGCCATGCAGGCGGGGGCCACTCTGGGCAGACCCCGTTCTCAGGCACAGATGGGGAGGGCAGGCCTGCCCCTCCCCCACCCAATCTCAGCCAGTATTTTCTAGGCCCTTTCTGCCCATTGTATTTTTGCCCAAGGTGAACATTTGAGTTATTTTGGGAAGTTTTGCCCCAATACATCTATGCTTTGGTTGAAAAGGCACCTGGTCTATGTAAGTAATTTTGCTGAGAATTGGCACCTTTATGGTGTCCAATCTTTTCATCCAGCCTGGGGTGGGGGCTGGGGGGGGGGAATTTGTCACCGGGTTGGTTGGTGTGTGTGTGTGTTCACGTCTTGTTACCGGTGTAGCGGATCTGGCGACCGTGTTGGTGATGCACGCTTCCTTCCGCTTCCGCACGCTCTCTCCAGCAGCTTCTCCAGGTCAGCCCTCAGGCTCCGCGAGGGACCTTCCCGCCTGTAAATAGCGGCAGCTTTGTCTTTCCTCGTTGCTGTGCCTCCTCTGTTTTCGCTGCCCTTTTTGGTCTTGGGATTTTCTAGAACTTCCAGGGCAATATGAAACAACACATTTGCTAGAGCCCCTCGTCTGGTCTGAGCGGAAACGGGAACAGTCTGGTGCCTCCCAGCGAAGCGGGGTGCTGCTCCCGGAGGGCAGGGCTGAACCCCACAGCCCCCGCCGTGTTCCGTGGCCAGAGACCCCTGGAGTTCACAGGGCCGGGAAGGACCACTGAGCTCCGCTCTGTCCACGGAAAACACCGAGCAGCTGTGGCCGGAGCTTCCCAGCACTGGGCTCTCTGCCCCCCAAGTCTCCCACGGAGGAGAGTCCTTCTTTCGGCCTCACCTCTCAGCCAGTCTTCCCGGGGCGCCCTCTCAACACCATCACCCTCTACCTACTCCAGAATCTTAATCTATTCAGCTAACATTTTCATAGCCTCTAAGTTTCAAATTTATGTAAGTATGTATGAGTGTGTGTGTATATGTGTGCCTGCATGTGCGCATATACATATATGTGCACGTGTGCGTGTGTACATGTGTGTGCACGTGCATGCATGTCTACATGTGTGTCTGCCTGTGTGTGCACGTGCATGTGTATACATATATGTGCAAGTGTGCCTGTGTGTGTGCACACGCATGTATGTCTGCATGTGTGTATTGTGTCTGCCTGTGTGTGTGTGTCTGCATGCGTGCATTTATTGGTTGGTTGACTGTTAATTGAGGTCCCAGGGTCCTGACCAGTGAGAACAGAGCAGCAGGACACAGAAGGCCATCCTGGCACCGGCCCCGCCCCGACTGGGCGCTCCCAATCCCTGCGTTATTTTCCGGAACATCCACGAGCGGCATCCACTGTGCGGCACGCAGCCTGGACAATCATAAAGCACGTTTCACCTGCCCCTGTGGCTGCATGTGCATCTCGGGGAAGCGCCTGTGCTCAGTAAGGGGCGGGAGGGCTGTGTGGCCTCAGGCTGTGGCAGAGGGTGGGCTCTCGCATGGACCCTGAAGGCCACGGCCCCAGAGTCCTTCCGTTGGCAGAAGACAGTCAGCAAAGGGAGTGTGTGTGCGTGTGCGTGCATGTGTGTGTGCACACCTGTTGGGGTGGGGCCCTGCACACACAGATGGGAACAAGCAGGTAGCAATGACAGTCCTCTGGTGTCTGATGGAATGTGTGCAAAGGCTCCCACTGTCCCTGACTCCCAGGCGGTCACTCTGCACAGACCTCTCAGACAGAGTGACTATCCGGGGGCCGTCCACAGAGTCAAGGCCGAAAAGGGGCCCTCCCAACTGCTGTCCACGCGGCCCCAGGGGACCCAGCGGCTGCCCAGAGCCACCCCTTCCTCGGTAGGTGCCAGCCCAGAGGTCTGCGCTGTGATGCACCAGGCGGGCTCTGGGCAGGTGTTAATCAGAACCCACGGCTGGCCAATGAGCCGACAGCTTGGGTGGTGGGGAGACTCCAGGGCACCCTAGGGCCCACCAGCTAGTGCTGGGCGCTGGTGGTGGGAGCACAAAGACCCTAACGCCTGGACCCTTCACCCTGGAGCCCACACCAGTGACTCCAGGGGCAGGACGCACCCCCAAAACACACACACCTGAGGCTCGGCCAGAATCAGACTTCCACCACCCACTCAGCAGGTCTGTGTCTTGGGGGGGCTTTGGATGGGCCCCCCTAAAACCTGGAGCCTGTCCCCCGTCAGCTGCCCCCGGGAAGGGAGAAGGCGGAAAAGGTGGGTCTCCCAGGGGGACGGGGCCCTCCTGCCAGGAGCGAGCTCCCAGAGAAGGCCGGGCAGTGAGCAGAGGGCGGGTCATGGGGGTGCGGGCCAGGCGAGGAAGACACAGAGCAGAGATAGAGGTGGGGGTAGCGGCGGGGGAGACACACAGACAGACGGGAGGCAGGGCCCCACTGGACCCCTCCCTGCTCCCGGAGCCAGGCCCGCACGACCGACGGACGCCCCCTCCAGCCGGGCTGCCAGGCTGTGCCTGGGCCTTGGGGCCCCTCAGAGCCCTCTCGGGCCTGGGAGGGCGGCACTCACGAGGGCGGGACATTGCCCGGCGGTGTATGAGGCGGCCCTGAAAGTGGGCCGCGGTGTGCGAGGCCGTTCTGGGTGCCGGACTCACCCCTAGGCGGGGGGCAGCCTGTCTGGGGACGGGCTTCTGGTCTGCAAGTCCCTGTGCACCTCGCCGCCAGGCCAGCGCGTCATACCTCGTTCAATTGTCCACGCGTCCCGTCTGTGAGGGTGACCGCTAAGCTGTGGGGGACAACCCCTCCGCAGATGATGTCACGTTGATACAGAGCAGCCTGGAGGTGGGAGGGGAGAGCGGGCCCCGCTGCCCATCCCCCAGCCCAAGCCCTGGGCCTCACGCTCAGCCCGGAGCACAGACGGGGCCACACGTGGGGCCCAGGGGCCCAGCCACGAAGGCTGAAAGGGCGCGTCCCCCGCCGGGCCGAGCCGGGCCGTCCCGGGCCATGGCTGGTGGGCGGGCCAGGCCTATGCGCCAGGGGTCTGGGCCACGGGGCGGACACCACCCCAGCGAGGAAGGAGCCCCCCCAGGCCCTCCCCTGCACCTTTATAGCGGACACCTGAGTGTGCGCCTGACCATGAGCGGACAGCCCGGTAAGGCCCGTCCTGCCGCGGCTCAGGCGCCATGCCTTCCGTCCACCCCCAGCCTGCACCATCTCGAGCGGAACCTCAGCCATCAGAGAGACTCCCTGTAAATATTCCGATGGTGACAATGAACCGAAGTGGAGCCCGGAGGCTGGGAGGCGAGGCGGGCAGGCAGCCAGGTCCCCCGCGCCGGCGCGGTCAGGAATCGGAGGACACCCTGAGCCCCGCTTTTCTCCAGAAAACGACTGCTCCCAACTCCCCTCCAGAAAACAAAGGTCCTCGCCTTCGTAGACTCGCTCTCCGTGTGGCTCCAGCTTGCCAGTCCCGAATCCTAGCGCTTTCTGAAACATTCCAGTGCTGTTAACCTCCAGCGTTGTGCATTTCAGAGCACAGCATGGAGTCAGTGCCTCCACACACACCCTGTGCTCATCGCAAGCGCACACCCTAACCCCCACCCGTTGCCTCCGACCCCCACCTTTCCTTTGTTCATTTGTTTTGTTTCTTAAATTCCACATATGAGTGAAGTCACGGTATTTGACTTCCTCTGACTGACTAATTTCGCTAAGCAGAATACCCTCTAGTTCCGTCCACAACGTGGCAAAGGGCAGGATTTCATTCTTTTTGCTTGCCGAGCAACCCTCGGTTGCGTGTATAACCCGCGTCTTTATCCGTTCGTCCGCTGATGGACACTGGGCCCCGGCCACACTGTGCCTGCGGTCGATAGCGCTGCTGTGAACGGTGGGGGCCACGAGCCCCTTCAGAGCAGCGCTCCTGTGTCCCTTGGGTAAACGCCCAGTAGTGCGATTGCGGCTCGTAGGGTAGTTCTATTTTCACTCCTTGAGAAACCTCCACACGGTTCTCCAGAGTGGCCGCAGCAGCCTGCGCTCCCACCGCCAGTGCGAAAGGGCTCGCTTCCTCCACACCCTCACCTCCACCCGTCTCCTGTGCTGTCAGCGCGGCCATTCTCACAGGCGTGAGGTGGTGTCTCGCGGTGGTTTTTATTTGCATTTCCCTGGTGATGAGTGACGTTGAGCATCTTTTCATGTATCTCTTAGCCGTCGGGATGTCTTCTTTGAAGAAATGTCTGTTCATGTCTTCTGTCCATTTCTTTTTTTTTTTAACGTTTATCTTTGAGACACAGAGAGAGAGAGAGAGAGAGCAGGGGAGGGACAGAGAGAGGGGGACACAGAATCCGAAGCAGCTCCAGGCTCCGAGCTGTCAGCACAGAGCCCGACGCGGGGCTCGAACCCACAAAGTCGAGATCATGACCTGGGCCGCAGTCGGACGCTCAACGGACACCCAGGCCGTGTCTTTGGCCCATTTCATAACTGGGGTCTTGGGTTTTGGGGGTGTTGAGTTTTATAAGTTCTTTATGGATTTTGGGTACGAGCCCTTTATCAGATGTGCCATTCGCAGCGTCTCCTCCCACTCCACGGGCGGCCACTTCGTTCTGTCGATTGTTTCCCCTGTTGTCCAGAAGCTTCCATCCTGATGAAGCCGAGTGGTTCCCGTTGGTTTTGCCTCCCTGGCCCCCGCAGAGCGTCACGGCAAGACGCTGCGGCCAAGGTCAGAGCCATGACCGCCCGTTTTCTCCGCTAGGATTTTCATGGTTCCCACATTCAGGTCCTTAATCCCTTTTGAGTTTATGTTTGCGCGTGGTGTGTGCCAGTGGGCCGGCCGCTCTGCCGCGTGTCGCCCTCCGGGTCTCCCAGCGCCACTCGCTGCAGAGAACGTCTTCCTCAGGGTGTGCTCTCTGCTGCTTTGCAAAGATTAACGGACCACGCGGGCACGGGTTTCCCAAGAGACCCGTTCTTGCCAGAAGAATAACTGACTTTTATTGTTAAGGCTCACAGGATTCGTGGCACAAACCCTGCCCCCAACCCGAGAGCTGTGTGGCCCTCGGCAGCCGGCTGGAGGCTGGTCCCCCGGGCTCCAGGCTCCAGGGAGGGCAGCGTGCCCCCTTTGTGCGAAGGGCCCCGTCCTGCGAGAGCGGGGAGCCCCCCGCGTCCCTGCAGGAGTGTGGGGGCACGGGGAGGGAAGGGGTTGGCAAGCACCCTGGAGTGTTCTCAGGCTCGCCAGGGGGCTCGGATGCTGTGGGATCCCATTTCCCACTGCTCCTTCACTGTCTTTTTAAACACTGCCCGGGTTTCGGTTCTGAGAAGGCCAGGACACTGGTGCCGAGCCGCTCCCGCCCCGGCCGCCCCTCACTCCGCCTTTTCCCACGACCCTTGGCCAGGCTGCCACGTACACAGGTCTGAGTTAGTAGCAAGCCCGAATGGGCTCACCGGTTGTAACAAACGTAGCACATTGACACAGGATGTTCACAACAGGGGAGCAGTGTATGGGGACTGTCCCTATTCTCCACCACATTTTTCTGTAATCCTAAAATCGCTCCAAAAAAGGCTGAGATAAGGAAACGAAATGAGTGGGAAAACATTTATTTTTTAAGACATTGAAGTGAACCAGCTGGGTTAGGCCATCCTGGAATATTCATTTTTTTCCCTCCGTCGTTTCTTGAGTTCTGTAGCAAAGGTATGACCCGTTGCTACCGGGGGGACAGGGACAGCAGGGGGTACCAGCCTCGGGGGCGCATGTCTCTGCCAGCCAGGCCCTCCCAAGGCCCCACCGTGGGCATCCCAGGTGTCCCCCCACCGCGTGGGCAGAGAAGGGGCGCCGTGGGTCCCCGTGCTCCCGTGGCTCTCCCTCCGCACCCCTGTAGGGCACATGACCTTCCTGGGCCTGCAGGGTGGCCCCCAGAGCCGTGCCCACCCTCCTCGTTGAGAGGCACAGGAGTGCTCCCCTGTGCTCGGGGCAGGACTCTGCGAAATGGCTCCTTTTGGGGTGCCTGGAACTGTGTGTGGAACGGCTCTGGCTGGGGCGGGAACTGGGTCCGAGGTGGCCCGTTCGGGCTAACTCAGGCCAGCACCACTGCCTTCCTTCCCTCTGTGGCCCGGGGGGCTGGTGTCCATCCCAGCTGTCACAGCCTCACTACGAGAGTCTGGATGACGGTTCGGCAGCTGCTCGCCAGCCCCCCAGCCTCGCCCAGGGTCAGGGGCCGCCCTGCCCCAGCGGCGTCGGGCTGGACAGGCCTGCTCAGGCTGATGGTGGTCAGTGACTTTCTGCAGCTGAGACTTGTCCTCTTGTGTCACCACGAGGGGAACACAGCCGGCTGGCCTGCTGCCCTTGGAGAAGAAGAGCCACAGGACAGCTCCAGGGCCAGCCCTCAGGCCAGGGCTGAGGCGAGGCAGCCACGCCTGGACGGACTGGCCCCCTGCTGGCCCGGCAACGCAGGAATGAGGGATACTCATGGCCTTGGGGCCTTAGCGCACCAACTGCTAGCAGACAAGCTTGCTCTGTGGCCCTGAAAAATTCTCTCCGGGGCTCAGTTTCCTCCCATTTGAAAATAGAATCAGGATGGTGCCTTCCACACAGGTCTGGTGCGGGCGGACGTGTCTCAGGCCACGGGAACTCCCTGCACAGCACCGGGGGCCACTGCTCTTGTCCCTAACTCTATACGTGGCCAGGACTGGATGCGCCCACCGGCCACTGGGCGTGTCCCGACTCTGTGAAGAGTGTGTTTCAATGCCCTGGCTCAGAGCCCCCGTGTGTGTGTGTGTGTGTGTGTGTGGTCTTGCCTCCTGCAACCCGCTGTCACTCACCATCAGGAGCCCGAGGGACAGATGCAGTGAGTGGGCCCTGGGGGCAAATCTGGGGGCGAAGGCTGTAGCGGACGGTGCTGGACGTGTGCCAGGGAGTGGTTCGCACTCTTCACGCTCAAGGCCGAGGGGCGGCAGGGAGGGTCTAAACAATAACCCCCCCAACACACACACACATACACACTGACTTTGAAAGATGCTTCCCAGCTGCAGGGTCCTCGCCGAGCCAGCAAAGGAGCAGGTCAGCCATTCTGGGGAGACAGGGCTGGCCTCCATACACACGGGGTCCCCAGGACACCCCTACAGGGAGTTGTATTTCTTCTGGTGCCACTTCCCCACTTTTTAAACGCCCACCAGGAGGTCCCCTGTGTGCCTGTAGGACAGCTCCTGCCAGCCACACACCTTCTTGGACGGAAGCAGCTGACCTTGGTTCTCCCAGGGGACACGCCTGTATTGTCTCCTGCTTCCGCATTCAGGAGGGAGCAAAGTGCCTCTGATGTTCCTAAATTAACAGGAATGATGGGTGAATGGATGACAGATGGATGTATGATGAAGGGATACATGGACAGATGGCGGGTAGAGGGAGGGATGGTGGATGGACGCATGGATGGATGTTGAATGGGTGGATGGATGGATGGCGGAGGGATGGAGAGATGAATGGAGCGAGGGATGGCGGATGGATAGAGGAACAGACGATACAGGAGGATGGATGATGGGCGAATGGATAACGGGGGGATGGAGGGATGGATGATAGATGAGGAGAGGAAGGGCTGATGGAGAGATGGATGGGTGGTGGTTGAATGAATGGATAGATGGATGGATGGATGGATGGATGGATGGATGGATGATAAAGCAATGAAGGGATGATGAATGGTGGATGGATGGATGGAGCGATGGACAGTAGTTGAAAGGATGGAGGGAGAGAGAAACGATGGATGAATAGAGGAATGATTGGTGGAGAGATGGATGGATGGTGGGTGATGGGGGACGGATGGAGGAACAGAGGGATGCTGAACTGATGTAAGAAGACATGATGAGTGGGGGATGGAATCATAATGGAAGCGTGGATAAGTGTCTGGAGCCTCCTTACAGAAGGGTTGGCATTCAGTGAATGTTCATTCTCATTATTTCTTCTGGAACATGTTGGAATGGCTATTGTTTGCGCTCGATCTTCATGGCTATTTGGCTTAACTTTCGCATCTCTCCCTTGAATTGTGTGTAAGGTAGATTAAACCCTCAAGGAGTTTAGTCTAGACAAAGAAAGGGAGAAAAAGAAAGGTGAGGAACCAGGCGCGCGGCAAGGCACGTGAGCCAGGACTGGCTGCAGAGATGGGCTGGCTCTGAAGGCCGCTGGGGTCATGAGGTGGGAATGGGCAGAAGCCGAAGCCAGGGCCGGAGGGGACCACACGGGACCACGCAGGAGGGCGGCTGGACAGCAGGGGGTGGCCCGGGCCCTGTGGCCACCCCTGCCCCGTCATCCTACCCCACTGGGGAAGCCCGGGCTTGTCCGGATGCCTGCCTCCCTGGGTGAACGCCAGCAGGTGCCTGCCATCTGATTCCATCTCTGACCGCCCCCCCCCCCCCAGGCCCACCCTCTTGCTTTTTCTGGGTTTTGCTGTGGCTGCATGTAAGTGTCTAGCCAACGAGCTGCGGGGGTAGGTGTGAGGGCGAGGATGGGGAAAGAGGCTAGCTGACAATGCTCCACTTGGAGTGGCAGCCCCTCCTCAGGCCCGGGCAGGGGTGTGGTCCCTCTGCTTGTGCCCTGTGCTAGCGCAGTGGGTGGAGCTCTGGTCTGGCTTTGGGCTCATTCAGCAGAGTGTCTGGTGCTTGGGGATGAAGTTGGACAGGTCAGCCCAGGTTCCGAAATCAGTCTCAGGGGATCCCAGGGTCAAGGTGCTCAGACATCCCCATGATGGACCTTGAACCTCTCCTTCCTGGAAGCCCCTGCCCCAACCCTGGCCATGCCGCTCCCAGGTCATTGGGTCAGCACTTGGCCATGGGCTCCTCTCTATGGTGAGACCTGCCCCACTTGGACATGTAAGCACGGAAACTTGGGCCACCCGACCTGCTGCCTTGCTCAGCATAGTGACCCGATCCTTTGGGCTCCTTTGGCCCCTCAGTCCCCTGGGAGGTCAGGTTTCTAGGGCTGCACATCTCAGCCAACTCAAACTAGGGGTGTCTGGGGAAACCTTGGCCCTGAGCCTCCCCGAGCTACTTCCTTGGGGACACCTAGTGCATCAGAGCCTGTGGCCCTCAAGCTTCAAGGTGCTGCAGACCCCAGTTGGATTTGCCTCCCATTCTAGGTGGTCTGGGTGCTGCCCATGGGTGGGCAGTCTGAATCTGAAAGTCTTCTCACATCACAGACATTCTGCTCTTTAAGAATGACTAAGACAGGACACATTCAGTACATTCAATCTACTTCTCATCACCCATCCATCCACCCACCCACCCACCCATCCATCCATCCATCCATCCATCCATCATATCCATCCAACCATCCACCATCCTTTCACCATCCATCTATCCATTCATCATCCATCCATCATCCATCCATTATGATCCCTCCACCCCTCCACCACCCATTCATTATCCATCTACCCCTCCCACCCTCCCTGCATCCATCTGTCCATCCATCCACACATCTATTCATCTATCATCAATCCATCCATCATCCATCCATCTGTCATGGTCCATCTATCACTCCACCATCCATCCATCATCCATCCCCTCATCCATTCATGCATCCACCCTCCATGGTGCAGGGCATGCCGAAGATCAGATGCTGCACAGGGCTGGGGACACAAATGGGAGCCCCCGGAGCAGCTCCCTCAGGTGACTCTATCAGGAGGAAGCAAGGGCAGTCAAGGGCACGTGTGAGGAGCCCAGAGAAGGACAGAGTTGGGGTGAGCAACACAGTGTGGAAGGAGCATAGGGCCCCCTGCCCGTCAGGATAAGATGGGGGTTCGGAGCAGTTAGGAAGAGACAGAAGTTGTCCGCGCTGAGGCCCCGGCTGCAGGCAGCTTGGAACAGAGGAAAGATGAGAGACTGGCCCTGTTTGGAGTTTCCCAGCCACATTCAGCCTGTCACACTCCTGAGCTGAAGTGGCCTCTTTCTTCAGTTACTGAGACATTTTCAACGTGCTCACCTGTCCCTTGGGGTCCAGAGATTGATAATAAAAACAAGTGACATAACCTCCTTGATCCAGTGTTTCCCTTTTCCTCCACTCAGGCTGCCCTCCCTCTGGGCCCTCCAGTGGCTCCCTACTTCCAAGTGCAGCTCCTGTGTGCTTGGCAATGCTCCTCTCCCCGCTCCCACACTCCGCCTGTCTCGCCCTCTCCTGTGAGCGCCCTGGACCAGCGGCCCCGCCCCCGAGTCCCTCACTGGCCCCCCCGGCTCCCCCAGAGATGATTACTCCCCAGGATCGGCTCATTCCCAGCCTCTCCTCGCCCCTCCCTGCCCCGCCACCCCCCCACCGTCCCCGTGTTCTGCCGCGTGCGCCCAGATGTGCCGGGCCTGTCCTGCACCGGCCGTGCTTGCGGTCCAGGCCAGTGCTCTGGACACCGCCTGGTCTCCACGCGGCAGAGACGGGCAGGATCCAGGGATCCACACGCGCAAGGCGTTTCAGCCCCAGGCAAAGGGCCTTGCGGGTGGACAGGATCGGCCGGTGTCCCTTCAGCCGGTGCAGGGTGTGGTCGCTGCCCTCAGCCTGGAGGCGGGCACAGGCTCCTTGTGTCTTCGGGGCCAGACACCACCGGCCGGCGCCCCGTGGGACTAGAGGCTGGTTACAGGCTGTGGCCGGAACAAGTCAGACTCCGGGATTATCTAGCAACGGGAAAGCTGCCCCCCAGTTATCGCTGAATAGCCTTTCCACCTTCACATGCCCAAGTCTTACCCCCCCCCGCCCCCCGCCCTGGAGAACTGACTGCGTTTGGAGCTGGTGAGGTCTTTGGACGGGGCTGCTCCGTACAGAAGGGGCCCCGGGGACGACAGGCACCAGGAAAGCCGGGGAAGGGCAGGTTGGGGGTGGGGGCTTGGAGAGCCGGGGCTCGGGCCCTCCTGTGCCCAGCCTGCTCCACAAGGGTCTGGGAGGGCCGATGCCATGTGCAGACCCTGCCCCCAGGGGCCTTCTCGAGAGTCAGCGCACCTGAGGGGTCCCGGCCTCCCGGGGCCTCTGTGGGGTCCGTGCGGCAGGGACCATCATTCCCAGGGCCCCTCAGGCCAGCAGCGCTCTCACCCGGGGCTCAGGCTGGGCACACGTTCTCTTCGCCCTCCCGACCCGACCCCCAACCCCAGGCCAGCCCCGGCGGCCTGCTTCCGGCCTGTTTCCTCCACGCTTTTGCTCAGGGTCCCCTGTCAATGCCTTGGTCCTGGTCCCTTGGTTTCCAGGACACCAGTTGGCCTAAACTTTGCCCCACCAGCCCTGGGGCCGCACTGGGCCCTGCCCCCGGCTGACCTGGAGCTGGGGTGGCCCCCTGGCCTCACCTCCACGTCTGTTACTGACCCGCGTGTGTCCGCGGCACGCCATGGCTGTCCGCTGAGTTCCGCCGGCTGTCAGGGCCCTCCCGCCCCGAGGGACCTCACGCCCTTCAATGCTCTCAGACTCCACTGGAGGCCTTGGATGCTCTCAGGAGCTCCATTCTCCTTCCATGAAGTAGAATGTTCTGGAACGTGATGATCACCCAGAAGGAGCAGTGATACTTGGGAGCAGAAGGCAGAACAGAGGGATCAGACAGGCGCGGGAAGCCTAGCGCCCTTATGCGCGGCAGGTGCGGCCGCCAGCAAGGCCTCGGGGAGGCGCTGCTCACGCATCATGACAGCAGCAAGGGGAGGGGACTGGCGAAGTCAGCTGACGCATCCGCTCAGCCGTGCCGATGAGGACAGGCCCCGGCGACCGCGGATCTGTCTCCTGCTTCAACAGTGTTTGGACAGGACAGAGCCAGTGACGCCCCGTCTACCAGCCTCCCACCCTCCAACCTCCTTTCCAGTCCCGACCTTCAAGCCATCTTCCCAGCCCCCCGCCCACGACACTATTTTAACCATCAGCCGTGAGCTCCCAGGTTCGTCAGAATTACTCCCCTGGGGCGAGGGCCCCCGGTCAACCATCTGGTCCAGGTGCACCCGCGGGCTCCCGTGTCTCCCTGTCTCTGGGCTCTATCTCCACCAACACCCTGTGGCTCCGGAGGGCGGGGGCATCTCTCAAAGCTGCGAAAGCAGAGTGACGGCCGCGCCCTCTCCCAGGACGTGCAGAAACCATTCGGGGACAAGGGGGTTGAACCCGGGCACCAGGGAAGCGGCCCTCGTTCTGGAGAAGAGCCTGAGCCAGGCCTGTCGGGCTCTGCGCGCCCCGGGTCCTGGCGCACCGCACCCCTCCGTGGCCTCCTGGTGAGCCCTTCCTGGATGAGGAGAACTCCTCAGGGAGATGGGGACCCCCCTGACTCACCCCTGCAGGCTGGCTGCCCCCAGGCTGGGCAGGGCCAGCCCTCTGAAGGCCTCACTGTGAAGCACGACTGGAGCCTCCGAGCCTGGCAGCCTTTGAGGGGCCCCTGTGGTGCCCCCCGGAACCACGGCTGGTGCCTGGGCCTCTCCCTGTGGCCACTCGGCAGCTTTGCAAGCTCTCGGGAATCCGCTCCTGAGCCGTGAACCAAACGGAAAGAATATAGTTTTTGTAGCAGGAAAAAAATTGATAATAATAATAATAAAGAAAAATACAGACTGAGCTACAGGGCCCTCTGTGTCCATATCCCTCTGGTGTGGTCACCCCCAGGCCCCTCCCGTCAGCTCCCCCTCTGGCCCCTGGTCAGCCCGGCCAAGGACACCACTTCACACATCACTCTGGCACCGGGTGACCCAGCTCAGGGGCCTCAGCGTCAGCCACTGTGGAGGGGACAGGGTGCGAGGGGACCTCAGGGAGCTGGCGGGAGGCCCTCCCCCTTTGGCTCCAAGTTCAGCTTCACTGGGCCTTCCCCAGGGTCTGTGTGCCGCTGACACACCTGGACCCCGACTTCATGCGGCATAGGTGCTGTGGAGGCCCAGGGCCCACGGGTGGTCTGAGGAGGCACAGGCCGGTTGTGGGCACCAGGGCGGACCTGGGGCAGAGCCTGCTGGGGGGCCCCTGGCCGGTCGCCGTAGACGACGGGTCGGCTTCCGGGGAGGTCGCTGCAGGTCATGGGTCAGAGGCCACTCTTCCTGAGGCCCCGGCCACTGCCCATTTGCACGGTCAGTCTCTCGCAGATGTGTCACCAAGGAGGGGAAATGTGTCCCCCCGTGAGCCCCCACCTGCTGTCCCCACAGCAGCAGCTGGAGGCCCCTCTTCCCGGCCCGTTTCAGGGCGCTCTCTGACTCATCTTGCGCCCCCCTCCCCTCCCACGGCGCACCGGCCCCTTTCTTGCCTCCAGCGGCCGCCTGGGCCCCCATCCGAGAGGAGCCGGGTGGATGCAATGGCGGAGGCTGGCGGAGGCTGCCAGACGGGGCTCTGCCTGACTGCACCCTGCACGATCTGGGGTGAGGGGCTCCCCACCAG